CCCCCCTCACGCTTCCCTCTTCAACGTCAATATCGCCCCACCCCTCCACCTCCCATAGCCGCCGATGGAATCGGCAGGAGCTGGAGTCGAAGAGCGGCTAACGGTTCGAAGGGGCCTTCGATTTTCTCGAGCTCTGCTTCTGCTCGACATTTCGGCATTTCAAAAGCGACGACATTAACTGTTAATATTATTATTCTTATTAACATTATATTTATTTATTCATATATTCATTTTTGCCATCTCATTAATTTATTGTTGACGTCCGTGTTGACGAAAGAAGAGCGCAACATTGATTATTTTACTACCTCGTGCTTTTCAATCTTGCGCATTGAAAGTAGATTTTCAAGTGTTTCTATTAATGTTCGGAAGCGCGCTTAAAGAACATTATCGATGTTGCAAACATTTTTTTTTTTTTTTTTTTTTTATTACCATTTATCCCAGTATTCCAGTCCTTTTTTTTTGTATAATCTAAAATATCTACTAAATTAGTACATCATTTTTATTAGACATTTTCATCGTGTGCATAAAAATTGCTCGTTGCTGTGTTTTGTATTTTTTTTTTTAAATTACTTTTTCCACTGTATCTTTTAAATGCAAATGTTCACTGTAATGAAACGTTCACTTCAACGAATTATTAATACACTTTAGCGTAAAAATGAAAAATATATATAATTAAAATTTTAATGTACCATCATCATTTTTCTGTTTCTTCCTTGAAAAATATTCGTAATTTTGGACATCATAATGGCATTCAGAATCGTTGGAAGAGGCTATAAGTCTTAATTATTTAATAAACATAATTAATTATCATTTAGAAATTAAATGGTAACTACTTACTCTATCATATTATCAAACTGTTCGATTTAATAAACGTTGATTTTTAATATCATCGAATGTGGATAGATTTTATGAGATCAATAATAATTTTGTCCACCTAGTCTCGTCCAATGACATTAAAATACTATTTTTGTTTAGGATAATAGTCAGGAATAATTATTAATCGTCTTATTGTTTTATCACATTTTATTTCATTTAATGTTTAATGCAATACAGTGAATAAATCTCAATAAGGAAATCTCGGAAATGTATATGTTTTTTTTACTTGTTCGTATCTCGTATCGCTCCAATGCAATATTTCACTCGCTCTCTCTCTCTCTCTCTCTCTCTCTCTCTCTCTCTCTCTCTCTCTCTCTCTTTCTCTCGATCGTCATTCGTACGTCACGCTTGTTATCTATGTTGCATACGTGTAGTAAAAGAATAAGCACGAAAAACAGCAAACAAAGCTACCCAGTTTATCTCTCTTCGTGGGTCTTCGATCTTCCAAGGGAGACAGATTACGTGCTCGTGCAAGTATTATTTTACTGGTGTACGTCGCGCATTCCCACACAAAACTCGATTATGTCCCTCCTGCTCGTCCTATTTCTTACCCTGCATTCCACCATTTTGTCCTCTTATACCCAAACTATCGACTGCCGTGTTAACAATAGTCTTTATCTGTGTCTGTTCGGTGGTCAGCTGAAAAATGTCGCTTTCGACGATGCGAAGGCAGTGCAGACTATCGACGACATAGAGCTTCACCTGGAGAATCTGAGCATCGAATGGATCTCCGAAGTCGCCTTCGCGGATGTCTCCAATTCCTCGGCTCTATACTTGCGCGACAATCAACTGCCCAGTTTGGCCAAACACTTTTTCCATCCATTGGATCAACTCACTTACTTGGACCTGAAGGATAACCGGATTTCGCGGATCGAGGATGGCGCTTTCGCTAGATTAATGAATTTAGAAACGCTTTTATTGGATGGAAATAGATTGATAACTTTTAATTCCGGCACTTGGAGAGGATTAAGCGGCCTTCGTGAAATTTATGCGACAAATAACCGTATTAGTTTGAGGAAAGGCATGTTTCGTGAGCTGAGGCTGTTAGAGACATTAGCGCTGGATACTAATAATATTACGGAAATTCCTGTGGGTACCTTCGACGGTTTAAGGCATTTGGATCTTTTGTATCTGTCTAGGAATCGCATATACAATCTCATTCCGGAGATATTCCAAGGACTCGGTGAATTAAGCGAACTTGATTTGGCCGAAAATAAAATAGCTTATTTGCCAGAGGAGACATTTAGATTTCTGAATAATTTAGAGAAGCTCTGGTTAAGCGGTAATCGTTTAATAGCCATAAGGGCCACAGATTTCAAGGGATTGGACGGACTGAGAAAACTGTACTTGAATAGTAACGAACTGGAGTCAGTTGACATGGTAGCCTTTCATATTTTCAAGAATGCTACAATCGAGCCAGGTTTTAAAGTCAATGGCGTGCGGTTGAAAAATTTGAAAAGTTTCGTTGGAAAATTCCGATGTGTCGATCGCGAAGAGTGGGACACGCCGTACGATTGTCGGAGCATCTTGGAAATCTAATAATAATATTTCGCTTGTTTTGCTGTTGTGAATGAGAGGTTCGTTATATGCGGCATATTGCGAAACACATTGTCTTCCACTCAAGTTGTTTTCATTTTGTTACATTTTATATGCTTAATGAATAAATTATGAGCAATTTGCAAAACAGGAAATATTAAGCATTAATGCCCTGCTATAATAATTTTCAAATAATTGACTTTATATATATAAAAAAGAAAGAGGAAAAAAGAAAAACTATACAGATCGTAATATATTAAATATGTTTTGTAAAAATTGCGAATAAAAGATAAGTAATTGTTGTAGTACATAGAAAATACTCGAACGTGCTATTCAATCAAATGAATATTTACAATTGTCGATAATTCAGGGCACGATTGGCATTATTTGAACGATGTAGAAGAAATGTTTTTACACATTTCAAACGTCGATTATACAACTCTTTTTGTTTCTTCATATTTTGATAAAATATTTGGATAAAAAAAAAAAGAAAAAAGAAAAAAAAACCGAAAAATTTATAATTATAAATTTCATTGCTATCTTCGTTCGACATATTTTATAATTTTATAATTCTTTTATTTTTAAATTTAATTGCCATTTAATGCTCTCATCTATAAACGTTTTCACAAACAATAAAAACATATTTACTTGCAAATACCCATCTCTTCCGTGTCTATAATTTATATTGAAATACGCTACGTATTTTCAATATATGCAAATTGCTTATTAAATTATTATAAAAAGCAACGATTTTCTAGTTAGTAGGCTGATAGTAAATCAGGATAGGAATTTTTAACTTAACATTATATTGCATTGATGTTTGGGCTAATAAGTCAGCAGCTCAATTACTTACGGAAAATTCACTATTTAGAGTTGCGATTATTGAAATATTTTGTATAATAAATCATAATCAACTTTTGTAATCATACTTTCATTATTATAGAATTTACTTGAATAAAATTGAGATAAATATAATCTTAATTTACATGTACGCTCGAATAAAAGTGAAATATTATATTTATCATTTTCGTTAAACAATCGCCTTTTGAATTTTAATCCGTATTTCAAATTAAAATATGCTTTGGATTCTTTCTGTTATATCTGGCATTCCATTACGATTTATTAAAATAGATATTTATTTTAGACAATATAATGAAAAAAATTGTATTATATTCTTTGTTCTCGTTTTTTTCTTTTGTTTGTTTTTGTTTTTGTTTCAAATAGTTTACGTAGGTAACACAAATAATAAATATTATTCTATAAATTGACTTTCTGCAAGCATATTGTGATTAATGAAAGTTTTCATCGCCATTCGTTTAATAAAATGAATTTCATCACTGCACTAGCCGCTTAATTCCATTCTATCTGTTTACTGAAACATAAAGTAACCTTATTACATCGTTAAAGGAGAGGAGAGTCGATACAACAATATATTCGACTTCAATAAAAAAAGTGTAATGATGTAATGATCATTATTATGAATTATTATTTCAACAATTTATACGACGCTGATTACAAACTTGATAGATTTTTTTTGCCTTTTATCATAAATTTTATCCATAAGATTTCGCAGTAGCGTATTATGATTTCGCTCTTATGTTGCGTAATTGCAACAATATATTTCTATATTCGTGAATAATTCTCTGCTTGACAATCAATTCGTAATTGAATTACATGACATTTGAATTTCAATAAATGCCTTTCACTCGTCCAAATAATATTCATAACATTCCGCGCTTGGAAATTCGATTTTAAATTCATATATACCAAATATGACTCGAGTCTTATCAGCGCCACACATATTCGCTCCTTAATAGCGCGCAGCCTCCCATCAATTATCTTCCCGTATTTGCACGATTGCCCACGATTAGATTGGTCGTATCGATTAGTTAAGAACTCCTACACAAGTATTTCTATATTTACTACTATAATTGCGCATACGGGATTAGCCAGCCGAGACGCATGGCTGACTCTTTTGTCCCGTCACGGCTCGCCGCCGCCGCCGTCGCCGCTCGGTGCTCGGTGCTCGATTCTAAATTTTCTTGGTACACGCGAGTCGCCACCACTTTGACAATTATGGAAAACTATCGCACAAGCGGAAACGTAAAATCCCGAGCCCCCGCACTCGCTGACACTCCCCCCACTCAACCTTCAACCCCAGCTTCCATCTCATTGCATATGAGCCAATCATACGCATTGACCTCTTTTTCGCAGAGCTGATGAAGGGCTACCGGGACATTAACGGGGCGAGCATCCATCCCTGCTACAGGAGCACTTCCATGGATTATGGATGGTTTCCGCCGACGGTGCACACGGTGCCGACCTCCTACTACCCTCGCAACTGCGCCTTCAGCATTGTCGCCTCCCGGGGCGGTATGTACCGCAACTATTCCCTCAATACGGAACTGGACAAGTAGCCGATATCTCGACTTCATCTCGAGGTTGCCTCTCATCATGCGGCCAAACGGAACTCGTGCAGCCGATTCTTGTCAATGGTCTAGACGATAAATTAGGTTTTGTTGCTCTAACGGCCACGTAGACATCGGCGAGTCATGCAGTTTTAAATCGATGATATCGTCGGGGGTAGGGTGGTGGGGTGGTGGGGTGGGGGCAAAATTTTCCGTGCTTACTTCCAACGGATCAAGTCGCCGGGTACTCGATTGGGGCCTTGGTTATCGAGGGAATTTGCAACATTTTGGAACATCGAACGGAGCCGAAGTAATAAGCAATCTTCTTCTATATGTTTTGCATGATCGAGATGTCGATGATATTGATGGGATCGCGATACATGACTAGTGTAGTGTTACTGAAGATATCGAGCAAACGGGGTCAAATGCATTGTACGCACTGGGATTTATAATTAGAATTTTAGAATAACCCGTCGATTATTCACTAATCTAAAGAAATATGTTATTTGTATAAGCGTGGTGCTCGCTAATCGGTCTTGTTCATTTCCACGAGATATTTTAATTTAATTACAAATTGCGAATATATGTTCAATGCAGTTTTTTAATAAAATTGTTTTTGAAACATCTGCTTTTTTTTATTTTATTTTATTTATTATTCATTTATTTATTTTTTTTTTTTTTTAACAATATTTTAAGTTTTACATGATATAATATACGCAAGCGGGTAATCACAATACCGATTTACGTTAGTTTAAACATTACTTACTATTAGTAAAATGATGACCAGAGATGAAATATTAGAAAAAGTTAGCGTTTGTGTTTACATAAATAGTTGAAGATAAATATATGAGGTAACAAATTATTTATCAAAGAAACCGTATATAATGATATTACAAATCTTCAATTACTATTATCACTCATGAATATTTATCGCTTATATTTAGCGATATTAACAATAATGTATAACGTATAAAAATTCCGGAACAGGTTTCCTTAAAAAAAAAAAAAAAAAAAAAAAAACAATGTATCTAAGTTATTAGATTTAAAAAGTTTATTTATTATTTGACAGAGAGAGAGAGAGAGAGAGAGAGAGAGAGAGAGAGAGAGAGAGAGAGAGAGGGCGTGTGACTGCAAATACCGAACGGTCTCTTAATTTTATCAATTTTAAATGAACATGTTATTTATTTATTTATTTTCTTCTTTAATCGACGTTTTATCATTTCATACAATAAATCATGCAATTTTGTCAAACCCATTGAATTATAATGCTGTTGTATCACATCAGTTATATAATTATTTTAATAATTATCAAGATTTAATGCTTATTTAATTAGCATATTTTAGCAAAAATTATTTAGTAAAGTAGATTAAAATTATTATCAATTGAGTGTAATTGAGTAATAAATTAAAAATCTTTATCCATTATAAATTTCACATAACATTATCACCACTACTCTCCTCTCACATACGCACATAAATTTATCGAATAATGAATAATTATGCGTAAGAATAACTAAATAATTGTTAAGAATTTGTATATATTATTATACGTATTATTTTAATTAAATTATTTAATTTGAGGTCTGTATCAATGTTTATATAATAAATCAATTGCTTGAAACAAGAGTTGAACATTTTTTAAAAATAATATTGTGAAATTTAAACATTCAATCGCAATCTTTTTCGATTGGCTTTGTTATATACATTTCTTATTTTTTATTATTTTATATATATATATATATATATATATATATATATATATGTATCTGCTTCAATTGTATTTACTGACTTATTGTACTTCAAAAGAAATGAGACAACCGCAGGGAAGCGTAGAATCTCGAATTTATATATAGATATAATGTTCCCCTGTCATTTAGAAGTAATTTAATATTAAAATTATCTATTAAAATTTAGTTTTCCTTTATATTTGACTTTCGTATCACCGACAGCTAATAATGACACAATTCCGTTAAATGCACAAATCAATTGCGATAACGATACATCCGAATATTCGTCCAACTTCACATTATGTAACTGGTCTGATATTTAAATTTTTATTTTAATAAAATAAGGTAAATTATAGCTGGCAAGATCTGTGTTCGATTGTAATCTATTATACATATAATTATTACCTGTTCATTAATTTTGTATATACTTACTTAGCAAAGGTAAGAAGAAAAAAATATGTTTATATACATTAATATGCTACTTATAGAAAATCACTCGGACCTTTCAAAATAAATATTATTACAGTGTTTATGCAATTCTTTCAAGAATAATACTATTTAATTAAATTAAAATATTTTATATCATATTAAGTCCATGTTATATATATATATATATATATATATATATATATATGGAAAAACTTGGAAATCGTATTTTTACAATCTATACTTTTTTTTATATCTAAACTTATGAGCAATAATTATTTTATAAGTAACAGTTATTTTCATCTCAGATTATTAAATTAATTTTTAATGTCTTATACGTAAAGATGATCATATTTCTAAAGTTTTGTTCTGGTTTTTTAATTATTATTATTTTTTTTTTATTAATCATTATTAAATAATTTATAAATTATTAATAAAGTTTAGATATTATTTTTCATTAATTTTATAAGATATACGCATTTAAATAAATCTTTATTTTAGTAATGATAATCGATAATAGAGATTTCCCTCGTTATTTTTCTTAATCCTACAAATTTTTATTAAATTAAAGAATTGTTATGAAAAAATAAAAATACAAAAAATTATGTTATTTAATTTTAAAATTAATTATACAAATTTAAATTTAATAATCAAATTTAAATATTTAAGCTCTCAATTATTATGTTATTTTTTAAGATAATATACAAATGATTTATTATTAAATGTTTTTACGAGAGCAATTTATTTATTGAATATATTCAGAAGAGTTATTTCCGTGTAATTATATATTCAATTTGTATAAGTTAATAATATTATGCATTTTTATTGCATATTCATTTCTTTATTCATATTTGTATAATTTACGCTATTTCGTTTGTAAAAAATCTTTCTATACATCCGAAATGTTTTCAAATTTTTCTCGATATTTCAAATATGCTATTTAAAAAATATGAAAACTATTTCAAACATTAAATTTTCATTATTACCTGAATTTAATTGTATAAAATTAATTTAATGTTTGTTAATTATTACCATTTATAATTCTATTAACTTTTAATCTGCGTTGATATTTTTTTAAATTTTAAATACAAATATATTCTTCATAATAAGCTACATATGTGTAATAATATAAATAATAAGATAAAATTGCGCAATGGTAAGGTTGAATAATAATCATTCGATAAAAAATATATTTTATTATATTATTATATAAATATTAATGGATTTTTCTTAATTATAATTAATGTAATAATCATCTCCATAAATGTAATTTCTAATAGTATTGTATTAGATGCGAAAACAAATTTATATTATTTAAAAAGGATTGAACATATTTTAAACTTCGTTTTATTTATTCTTCTCTTTTCTGCATTACTGTTTATCTGGAAGGTAAATTACCCGTTTCTCTATCGGCGATTCTTATTATTTAACTTAAAAATATCACTAACATACCTTCAATGAATAATTTTGAATAGAATCAAGGAATGTTCTATCAATTTATAAAACCTATGTATTAATTTTTCTTAAACATTTAGTTTTCTCATCAAATAGCATTTCTACAATTGCTGCTTCATAAATGCAAATTATATTCTTGAGTGCGATTTACCATCTATAAACGACTTCCCTATTTCAGTAATACGACGAACTCTCGGAGCTGGTAATGTTTAGTGAGTAAACAAGCACCAACATCTAATGATTATAAATTACATTATTAGTTCATGATACAAATAGTTGCAAACTTTTGACTTACAATCGATCAATTTATGATTACCTATCTGAAATACAGCTTTCGTAATAGTGAATCTCTCCTTATGAATGGACTGTTATTAGTGTGTGACTGTTATTACCGTTAGAGTGCTCAAAATACCGCCCAGCCGAATAATTATAAGTATTAGGAATTAATTTACCAATTAATTTGGTATAGATATGGCGTTCCATCATGCAGAAGAACTGTTTGTCAAATTTACAGTCTGCAGTGTTGATCGATGGAGTTTCAATTAAGAAAGAAACGTTCAAGACTCAATATTGAGAAAATTTATCAGGAAAAAAAAAATGTATATTAATCTAATATGGGCATGAAACAAAAAATATTTTCAACAATATCAATTCATAAATCCATTTATAAGTACCAGCTATATTAAAAACAAATTTTATCAATTTATTATTTCTGCACAACTAATTGCCTTGTTAATTGATCGATACCTCATCGAACGTGAACTTGATATTTGTTTTTTTTTCAAGTTATTAGACAAGAGTGCGCTTCGTTAATAAGTATCCACCAGTAAACTGTTTCCATTTATTCTCTAATAATTTTTTAATGAAAATTCTTTATCGAAGGATCGTTTTTATCAGAGATTCGAATACTATGCATTAAGAATGATACGAAAATCTGTTTAATATAATTGTGGGACTTTAGTTACGGGACTGTTTTGCATTATCGAGTGACTTTATCACAAAGGATACGAATTAGCTGTTCTTCATTGCTAGGATTTCGGTTGATTCCCATTGTACTCTGGCTTCCGTGAGTTGTCGAGGTAAAATCGAATGAATAGCCGCTTCGTTTATAAAAGGGTAAGCAAATGTAGGATGGTTACCTGAAATTGGTTATTAGCGTTGGGAAGAATTGCAATTTAATAACGACGAGTTTCTTTGAAAAAAAAAAAATGTTTTTTGAAGTGTTAACAAGGAAGATACGATTGAATTTCTATAATATAACGCACAATTTGGAATATCCAATTTATATGAAATATTTTTGTTGCCGATTGTGAGATGCCCATGTGAAATCCTTTAAACAAAAACAAAACAAAACAAAGATACAAATAATAACAATTAAAATCATAATTGGCGAATTGTATGTGATAGAAAGCGGATTTTTTTAAACATGCACGATGTCGATCTTAGTGGATCGGCCGAAATTTATAACGCGAGCTTTCATTTGATCCGATTCTTTTCAATTATTAAATAAA